TGGTCTTTTCTATCTTTAATAGCTTATGACTTATTAAACACTGCAACTTACAGGAAAATTTGATGTGTCACAAAGACTTACAATGACAAATATATTTAAAAAATAGCCACGGCGCGTACGCCAGACCTCAACCCCCCCCGAAATGAAATCCTAGATATGGCCCTGGCAGAGAGGGGCCCGGAGGAGGGCACGGAGCATCGTCGCACAAATCACAGGTAGATGGCACACAGGAGGGGGGTGTACAAAATGACGGGCACACAGCTGCCTGGCTGGGAGCCATGTCTAGACTCTAGGCTAAGTGTTCCAGGATGGAATTTCACATCTCTAAATCCCTTCCCGCCTAACACGACCGTCACATTGCAGGCTACGACTTAAAGAGACCAACGTTCGCTTGCTTATAATTCAGGACGACCTTCGATGGGATCTAAGCACTAAATAATTTCCGAAGCCTCTCGACGAAGAATTTACATGCTACAGATATTGAAATCTTTTGACGTACCTCAGGAGGACCTTCTATACAGCGCCATACCGAGGATATTTGGCGCCCTGTGCGAGATATCAATCCCTCCCTTGGCGTGAGATACCTGTATTTAGACCCAGCTTCCCCAGCTCAAACAATACATGACGTATTAATTTCTGTGTTTAATTTATTAATAGTTAAATTCTGGATAATTTGCAATTTTTTAAAGTTTTATTCATATTTTGTAGTGATTTGGCAGCCAATCGGCGCCCTGCGCGGAGGCACCGCTCGCACACCCCTTGTTGCGGCACTGCTCTTACATGTCTGGTCCTTTTACATCCGGCCAGTTCTTGAGTACGCCTGCCTTTCCTGGAATAGTTCCTTGCCCGGCCGAGCCGTATTTGCCATCGAACAGGTGCAGAAGCGTGCCCTGCGCTTTATCCTTGGGCACAAGTATGAAACTTACGAAAAGGCCTTGTCGACCCTCGGAATCACATCCTAACAGAAAAGACGACTGGATCTTACATCCAAATATGCCCATGCCCTCCTAAAAAACCATCGCGACGGCAAGCTTTTCCTCTTTACCGACAAAGCCCACCCACGAACCCTAGAAGAAACATCTCATCTCTCTTGGAAGAGCACGAGTGCCGCACGAGCAGATTCTACCAGTCAGTAATCCCCTTCATGACGCGCTTGATAAATCAGAAAACTACCAGAGAAGACCTCCACACTGTCACAGTACAAACCCATAACTTTGTTACCCTTTCTATGTCTGACGATGGAATGCAATTTGCTGATGCACAATTATTCCAGAATCATGAATAAACCACTATTATTATTATTATTATTACTAGCATAACCCGTCGCGTTGTGACGGTACCTAGACATTGGTTTATTGGAGCTGAGATGGACACCATCAATATTGTATGCGGCGCAAGACGTGAATGGAAAGTCAATGTATTTGAACGGATGTGAAAGTTATTTGTCTCTTGAATCAATGTATTCATTTTCTAAGTTGTATACAAATATTTGTACACGAGTAAAATTTGTTCACAGCAACTAAAAACCAATACTATATGCCTAAAGAACCTCCCGGTAAACGACATTTCGGGGAAGCACTTCATCCCGATAGTCACATCGTCGCCGCTCCTTGGTAACGTGGAAGGGACGTCGATCTGCATATACCTTGACATTTTGCGGGTCTCCTACTCGACTCATGGCAACAAACATTTGTCCATGAGTGAAAACAGATGTTGGCAGACATATCCCACACTTCTCCAGACTTTGTCCTTGGCTTTTGTCGATGGTCATTGCAAATGCCGGTCTGATTGGAACTTGACGACGCTGCATGACGAATGGGAAGTCAGAATCCGACTAGATCATCGTTATCCGTGGAATGAGGACAATTTTCCAGAACGTTCTAGAATGTTCTCAGGTGTTCTTATGGGACAGACGGCTGGATGGATGGCACGGACGTACGTACGTATAGCTCCCCTATTATGGGTGACATGCACCAGATCCGTTTAACTTTAAACTGATTCGTTTTCATAATGGGCGTCTATGGGAATAAGTTTATCTCGGTTAAACTGATTCCCATAGGGCAGTGCTTCTCAACCGGTGTGCCGCGGTATTTCCGAAATTATAGGAAAGGAAAGAAAATCGCTGTTTTATTATTCTCTAGTCTATTCACCGGCAAAAGACTTCCTCAGCTTGCAACGGGCGATGAAATATTCCGCGTTACAGATGAGTACCTGAAAAGCAACGGGATCCAGTGGGAAAACTACACAACTACACAAAACTACACCGATGGAGCTGCTGCAATGACAAGAAATGTCAAAGGGTTCGTGTCGAATGTGCAAAATCAAAACGCAAATGTTGAAATCACACACTGTTTCCTCCATCGCGAAGCTCTCATGGCAAACAGCCAGCCGGATGAGCTGAAGTCAGCTTTGGCTGAAGTTGTAAAAATCGTTACCTTTATCAAATCAAGACCTCTTAAGCCTCGCCTTTTCTCCGTATTTTGTGAGGAAATGGGGGCAGATCACCGATCCCTACTTTTTCACAGAGGTTCTCTGGCTTTCGCGAGGCAAGGTCGTGTGAATAATTTTTGAACTTAGGGACGAGGTAGAGCAGTTTCTAACGTTGCACCACAAATCGCAGCATGCTAGTTTGTTACAAGACAATTACTGGCTGGGAGAACTAGTGTACATGGTTGACGTCTTTGAGCATCAATTCTTAACGAATTGAATTTAAAAAATGCAAGGACGCGGTGAGAACGTGCTTACATATACGGACTAACTAAATGCGTTCAAATCAACACTTCAGCTGTGGAGAGAAGAAACAGGACAACATTGGACATGTTCAAACGGACCAGTAACACACCATAAAAACATGCTGCTGAATGTGGTGGCTGAACATTTGGGCATGCTTCACAAGTTTAAACACCACTTCAAGTTGACCAGTACGGAGTATGCACTACGTTAGTCATAGTTTGTTATATCCCTCTGTGGCCCCTTTGATGACTGTTCGGTCTCCTGCTGGGCTTTGACAAGTTATGAGAAATGTCACCCCATTATGGATCCATGCCAACTGGGCCTGGACAGGCTGTACAAGATGTAAACATGGAATTGAAAAATCACAAACTGATTTCATTTAACTGAGTAAAATAAAAACTATTGAAGAGAGTCTATTTTTTCAACATAAAAACTCACAAGAAACAAGCAAAAATGGAAAAGAATAAAGAAAACCCCTATGACAAAAAATGGCAGCTATTTCTTGACATGACCATTTTTATGGAGGCATCCCAGCAGACCAGGCAAATTTGGTAACACTTCCTATACAAAGCAATCGCTTCAACTACCTCACTGATTCTCGCTATGACTTAAGAAAACAGCAGTCACTGGGGTTCGGTGGCCGAGTGGTTCTGGCTTCCGGGTGGCAACCCGGGAGGCGAGGGATCGAGTCCGTGTGGCGGTGGGCTCTTCCGACAGGCGACCCATCCTGCTTTCCTGGGGAGCGTCTGCTTAGCGTGGGATAACACACACGCACACTGTGTGCCACGTCTAGGAGATACGGGTATAGTTCACCTTAAAAATCACTCGTGCCAGTCACGGGCTTAGGCAACCCGTGAGCTGCCCCTTTGGCCTCCTAAAGGACCGTTGAGGGGTGTCCCTGCCTGAGGGACTGTGATAAAGATGCGGCGCCCGTGCCAAGCGTGCACCCCCTCCCTCTCTGTGTACTGTAATTGGTCCGCCGCATGTCCTGTCTTTAAAAAAAGAAGAAGAAAACAGCAGTCATATGCTGTTATAGATATTCATGTTATTGTCATTCCTTGTATCATTTCATGAAAATATTTTAGATTGGAGTTTGTAGAAATTGAGTCTCTTCGATATTTTAATTTTGTTGAATAAAATGATTAAAAAAAAATACTTTTCTACTCCATTTCCATTCAACCTGTATGTTATTAATTGATATAAATAATGCAAAAAACCATTCATCTTTCCAAGAAAATGCAAAATTTTCATTGAGTTATGCATTTTTCAGTGTTACCCAACACTGGGTACACTTCTGCCAGATGCTTGGAATCAAGGGAGAAGTGATGAGATTTACTCATTTGAGGAAACCCATCGAAACACAAGGGGCATAAATTGTTGCCTTCGTGGGCAAAGGTTGTATCTCAGCTGGCTGCCGAAATCGAGTTTGTTACAGCATAAGTTCCGTTTTCATAATCTCCCTCATGTGTGAGAGCGTGTTATCTCTAAACCAATCTTGAGGCCAGGAGAACAATGGAGTGACAAAAAGTCATATCTTGATTGGTCTAAATTTCTTCGTATGAAAAAGTCATATCTGATAAGCATCTGATAATGAATGAAAAGGTCGTATCTCTGCTTCTGGTCACACTTCCAGTTCTGGAAGGTAGTTGACCACTGTGAATGATTCGCTTCTATTCGACAGAATTATTAAGCTGATGTTCCATATCCTGCTCCATAACAGTTAGTCAACAGTTTTCCTGCTCTGACTGAAAACGTTAAAAGGTCAAGATACGACCCTAGCACATGAAGGCAATGAAATGTTATTGAATACAAGGCTCCAAGCCTCCTCTCTGTACCCTTGCTCACTAATTATAACCTCAATATCAAACTCATAACAGATCGTGACTGTATATGAAGTCCACTCAAAACTAATATGAGTGTGAATCCTCTTCAGGAGAAAACTGAGCACCATGTCCACCAAGAAACTTGCTGCATCCATACATGTTCATATGGTCTCCAAGGCTGGGCTACAAGATAAAATAATGTTTACTTCTCTGACTGTGATGATTATAGAGTTCATGCAGTTTCTGCTACCAAGATGTTCTTGAAAATTTCTGAAATCAATGCAGTACAAAGAAGGGAATTGGACTGGCCAACCTATTCATCACATCAGGTCATTAATATGTCAAAGGATCAAATTAGAGAAATTGAGGGATTCAAGATCCCATTTGGTGATAAAAAGTATGAACTTCAATACATTCAACAGGATAGAATATATTTCCACCTGTCACATACAGATAAGGATACATTCATCATGAACAACCTTGCACTGGAAAAAGGAGGGCAAATTCAGCAAAATCAAAAACTTGGAAAGAATCCACAGTTCCACTAGGGAATGAGAACTATAATGTCACTTTATCACATTTGTACAATCCAGACCTGTCAGTCTAGTGCTGGGCTACAACATGCAGCAGATAGTAAGCAGGGGGAAGGGTAACAGCTTGGAATTTACTTAAGACATAACAATCACAATAACCATCCCTCCACATTTTCCCTCCAACACTGTTCAATGGCATCACAGTCAAAAGAACAAGGAAGCCTAAGCTTGTAGGTCATCAGAAATCTACATCTACAGTTTTTGTACTGTGGATTGAACTCTGAGATGATATGGCTTTCCATATGGTTCATTATGCCAGAATTTGACCAAAGAAAGCAGGATATGCTATAGATTTCAATGGAAAACACTCAAAATTCAATCCACACTCAAATCAGTAGACAGAAACCAGCTTATGTCTCAAATTTCCGAGCTTAAACAGGATGGGATTGAGATCGATGGCTGCGAGTGTCTTCCGAGGACAGGGAACTGCCCACTGGTGATGGGTGTGGTGACCCTGAATTGCCAGTAATGGTGCTGGTGTCACTTAGATCCAGGCTCAGTCGCATGTTGAAATCTGCAAGCACAGAGCCTTGCAACTCCCCAGAAAATTGGCCCCTACAACATGACCAGACCCAAGAATTAGCATATGAAATTGAACAGTGAACTTAATATTTTTCCTCATTCTGACATGTTCTCTACATTTTTAAGCACTTTTTATTAGGGATGCACCAATCCAGGATTAGCTGATACCGATCTTGGTGTCTTGGTATTGGCCGATCCAATACCGATACAGACAGCTCCCAGTGGCTGTCAGAAGTGAAACCACAATACAGGACCAGGCAAATGTAGGCCTTATGCTACCTTTGGCATGGAAGGGAAGAAATAAAAAATCCTTGGACATTAATGACCCAACATTCAAAATTCCAGTCATTTATTTAGCTCTGGAGACATTTACGTTGGCCAATAAATTAACTTCTTTGGTATAGGCCAAAACTTTCCACGCCATTCACTGGGCCAGCTGAGAATACATAAAGGACGATTGGTGCAATGAGGAGTAGGGGTAGGAACTACGTCTCATGTCCTTAAGAGATTAAGGAGTTGATGCAACTACAACCGGGATTGGTGTTCGAGGGGAGAGCCAGAGGTGGGATGGACATGAGCACAAAGTGTGCCTGCAGAAACCAGTCAGTGCAGGAAGGCACAAGACAGAACTAGAATGGGGGAAGGTGAAGGAATGAATGCGTACATGAATGACTCTGGCCCATTCCATTTGTACAATGCCCTTCTCATTGTCTATCAGTTGGAGATTAACAAGAACTATGACAGACTTATGGAACCATATGCCATTATGAGTGGGGTTTTTTTCTTGAGACGTTCCAAAAATTTATGCGTTGCTATCAAGTATGGCGTGCAGCAAGGGAGAATCGGATCGGATAGGCCATATAGGTATCAGCTGATACTGATCCTGGCTGATACCAATCCTGGTTGATCCACTGAATATTGGCCAATACTGATATTTTGGATCGGTATCGGTGCATCCCTACTTTTTATGCATTTTTAAGGGATTGGTCAAACCATGATTTATAGTTGCAGAGAGAAGAGACACTAGGAATTTCTCTTATCTATAGCTTAAACAACAAGAAAAAAACATAAGCAATGAAAATATTGACATAAACGAGAATCCAATTCCCAAAGAAGATGGATATTGAGGGTCTCATTGTAGGCCCCCACAGTCAAGAAGCTAAGCAAACTGGTTTCCTTCTACTTTATGAAGCCATAAGTACTACTTTATATTCTTACACGATTATTCTTTCCCAGTGGTACGAAGTAACATCCTGGAGTGGAACATGATTCTCTTCTGGCATAGGTTGGCTTATTTTCAACTTATTTGCGGCAAAATTGACATCTCTTTGAGGACATTCAAATTAACTTCACAATTGGAGCAATCATCCTCTATTGCTCCTATCATTCCTTTTTTCTCCCATGCTTTTCATGGCAGTAATTAAATAGAGGGTGTCTGCCCCTCTTCTCCTGACCTAGGTGAGAAGCAGGGTTGTTTCCTTGTTAAATGCAGTGAAGGACTTCCCATAATTCTGTCTTATATTTTATTTTACCTGATCTACAAGGGGTGTTCAATAAATAAGGTAACAAGGCCTGCTGCGAATAATGGGCTCTGGGCACTCATTCGCTTAGAATTGAAGGCTTTGCACCACACCCATACTTGTTTTTGAGACATGGCATGTTCTCCATAAACCTCTACAACTTGGTGTTGGATTTCTGCAGGTGTAGTGCCTCTCGCATGAAGAAACCAAATAGCTCTCTGCACTTCAATGTTTGACCAAGTTTCTCATCATAACTGGCATTTTACGCATGCGCAGTTTCACACAGCGATATATTTGCGCGGGAAATGGAAGCCTCACTATCACTGTACTACATTGCCAAAAAAGTTCCTTGACCCAAACAATAACTTATTCGCAGCAGGCCTAGTTACCTTATTTATTATTCCCCCCCCCTCGTATATCAAGCCTTATCTCTTAAACCTGTCTCAAACCCATTTACAGATGCAGGTATAACTTTATGAATGTACACACTGTCATGGAATGTTAATAAAATCTTTGTATGTTTCTGACTTTAATTTCCATGGTAAATCTGGTTGACTTTTCAAAAATTAGGTGCTCTTTGTTAGCAGTAGTTACTCCTAAGGCTCCTTAGCCCTTCCACTGTCAGATGGAAATTTAATTCTCCAACCTCCTCCTGGAGGTGTCATTGGATAAAGTATTGGCATTACCTGGGTGTCAGGAGATATCAACACCCGTGAAAGGGTTAATGCCTTCTCATTCTCAAGTTCAAGATGGGGTTATATCAGCTGCAGCAGTAACAGATGCCAAACTCAGAAAAACATCTCACTAATCATCTTGGTTGGCTTTGTAAAAGTAAGCTTAGCCTCAGTTGATTATATTCAGTGTAATTAGTATGCATTAACATGAAAATGCCAAGGATGCTATGTACCCAATTCAGTAAGCATTGGTGCAACACCTGACTAAAAGCAATCAGAATGGACTCCAGAAGTAAACCCTCAAAGTTTTGAGCAAATGCCAAATATTAGTTGAATGTATCAAAGACATCTTAGTCCTGAATTTGAAAACAAGTTTTGACACTGTGAATCATATCACCATAGCTCCCACATTATTTTTTGTAGAACTTCACATGTCATTCCAAATACCTGATTCCAGGAAGCTGTAGAGCATCCCCAGGGGAAGTGTGAAGATCTTGGTTTCTCAGTCTCCCAATAGAAAGACATGGGGGTTCATTTGTATGAACACAATCACACGATTCTCCCGCTGTTGCTCCAGGGATCTCGATTGTGCCTATCTTCACCACCTCATTATAAGGTGGAGGGGAATCAGTTGGTTTCCAGAAGTATGAGGGTGGAGGTTCTCTGTAAATGAACTCTGCACCCCCAGAGGAGAACTCTGGAGGGAAACGACGATTTGAGCTGAAAGCCAGCATCTCCATAGTCAGGCTACCATTATGTGGTCCCAGGAACTGTTGCATCATATCTATTTACAGCAGTAAAATAAAATTAGTTAGACTTAGAATTTAGCATAAATCACATTCAAGACAAGTTCTTCAACTGAATAACATACTGCGCTGACGGCGATGTCTCAGACGATGGAACAGGAAGAAGACCAGTGCCAAAGAAAAGACGATGGAAACAGCAGAGGCAACAAGTCTTAGGCTCAGATCTAGTGCAGAATCACTTCCATTCTCAGCTGTTGGAATGGTAACAGCGTTGTCCACACAGACAAATTCACAGCAAGAGCTGCCAATTCGAAAGGACTTGCAATCCTGTTTATAAAGAAGAGAATATCAATGAAGATCCGAGTCACCGATGACTTGAAAGAGCAGAGACTCCAGAACAGGAGAGACTCACTTGTGGTGGAGAACAAAGAACAGCCTGACACCATTCAGGACTCCCATCCTCACATCGACACACAGTACAAGCGTCAGGTCCAGGGACATAATTCAATCCTGAGCTGATGTTTTTGCCATTAATATCCAAACACATTTGACCCCCATTGCTGATTTCCTCCCCTGTTTCGGCGGGGAAACCCTTGGATTTCCTCCCCATGGTAGTATTTAGGCCCATGGAATACCGGTATACGCGAGCAATTGCTTCCATTCTATCAAATACGAATAACGGAAAAGGGCCCAGTTCTGAAAGCAGACTGTCCGGCCAAGGCCGCAGCTGGTAGGCCTTTATAATTACCAACAACCGCAATGTTAGAATTAGACTTGACTTAGCATCATCTTAGCCGATGAGACGCCATATTGAATTTGTAACTTCCAGTGTCACAAGATCTTACTTTTCTTATATTTTCCTGAGCCTCGGAATTTATTCGTCGCATGATGATGCCATCTCATTAATCGTGCACTTTTTCGCACTTTTTTGCTTTTACGCTTGTTTTTTTTTATAGACGATATGAAACTTGAATGCCCTAAATGGGCCCTGCATATGCGAGAAATAGTGTTAGAATTGGTATTGCATCACCGCTTGGCAGCTTACTAGTAACATGGCTCCGTCCATGTATACATTCAGTCAGGTTCGTAACTCATGTAGGGCATGATATGTCCTATTCCTGTCGGCCAAACAATTTGGCTTAGTGAGCTGTTCAGCTGGATCGAGAAAGTTCATCATTTGAGGCTGAGGAACAGCAGCACAATAAGCATGGAGGGCCAATGTGAAGTCATCTTTGAAAGAGCCGCCAGGAAGATAGGAAGAAACAGGCTCAGGCCACCTTTGAACCCAGCTGAATGGGTTGGCCACAATCATTCCTAGCTGCTAACATAGCCGGCTGAGGAACTAGGTTGGTGAAGGCAAATGGCACGGATGGGCTTACCAGCTCAGCTGGCTGACGAGAAAGAAATATTGTGCAACATCACTCTTGCCCATGAGAGTAGTAGCTAGGCCTAACTCATTAGCATTGTTAAGACTTTTTTATTAGCTGAAATTCCTTGCTTGTAGCTTATGCTCTCCGAGTAGTTTTTTTTTTGGCGGAAACTAGGATTAGGCTTGGTGCAAAAGAGATGCTTGTGGTCATCCCATGTCATATAACTTTCACAGGTCCAAACTTTTAGACCTTCATAGGTTATGTCTAGCTCTGAGCATCAACACTTCCCATACACTTGCCAGTAAGGAGGATGTTGTCCAGATTTGGGAGCAAAAATGAGGTCAATAAGGGATACAGGTGCATGGTTCGACTCTTGGATGAGAACGAGGAAATTTTAGAATGTGACTTCCAGGTGAGAATTTTTCTTGGAAAAATGCCCTTGAGGCTGCTTAAGATTTCTTTTTGCATGATGGTACTGGGTTTCACAATTTCTGTTTAACTGTTGTACTTAAGCAAGCTCTTTAGAGGTAGCCAAGGCTTCGCGTACTTAGCCCATATCACATTCTCATCCTACAGGGCCACCATAAAGGACAGCATTTGCTGGATCAGGTGTGTGACAAATTGAACTTGCTAGAGAAGGATTTCTTTGGGCTGCGATTCATCGATGATGACAAGCAAAGGGTATGTGACAATATAGACTTTACCCTAAAAGTCTAACAAGGAATCAGCAACAAATTCAACTGTAATGTGCACTTGACTGCATTATCAAAGATAAACAATGGCCATCACCATACATGAGTTAGGAAATTAAGGGGAAAGATAAGGCAAAAGGGTGAGAGTGAAATAAAGAAAATTCAAACAAGCCAGAGGTGGTATAGAAAATAGTTTTTTATTCTATACATTTAAAAATAAATAAAACTAGCAATCTTCCCTTCCCAGTTCTTCAAGTAAATCAAATAAAGGGACTACAAAAACCAATGATGTCAGAACTTAGGGATATGAATCCTTCTGAAGTGAAGTAAGTTGAAGGTGAAAACTATTATATCTTGTTTCCCATTGTTGCTCTGTATTTTATTACCAATGGAGAGCAGGAATAAGTTAGTTCAAATTTATCATTTTAGAGAAAAAAAAGCTACTAGAAAGTGTGTGTGAATGGGAAGAAATGGGTGCATGAAGATAAAGGTTCATTTTTGCCTGAAGGAAGAATACTTAAAACATATGCAATATACCTTAACAGTGAAGAATAATAAAGATGGACCCCCTCCATTTTTACAACCTCAATCAAGCAGAATAATGAATGAGTTAGATATGCTTCATTTCTATTTTGTACCCTAAGATAACTGCTGAAATGGCATATAGCATTGTAAAGTAGCTTTTAATACAGTCTATATCTTTGCAGGAAACATGATATAGTATATCCACTCAAATATAAAACCACCCTCAATTGCAATAATTGTTTACAGGGTGGCCCATAAGTAAGTTTGCTCAATAATATGGTTAAAATCCTTTTCTCTTTGGTAAGTCTAAGAGCCATTTCAGCTGTAAGCAGATATGGCCATCAATAGACCTTCAAAAAAAAGAAACAGGAATAATATCATGTAACATAAGAAATTTTGGTCAATAAGAAATTAGTACAGTTGAAAATCCTTAATTTACTCATGGATCACCCTGTATTTGGCTGGATATACTAAAAGCCTATACCTATGTTTTAGTCTATTTAAACTTTCCATTCTCTATTATTTTTAGCATTGGTTGGATCCCACAAAGAACATCCTCAAACAAGTCAAAAGTAAGTTTTTTACTCATGGTAGGCCTTTGGTGGGCTTCTTGATACCTAATAAGAATTGTGAAATTTTGTAATGTCTGTCATAATGAAGCATTTTCCATTGATCTTTCTAGGCATGAACCCTATTGTATTCTGCTTCCGAGTCAAGTTCTATCCCAAAGACCCCCATAAGCTGAAGGAGGAACTGACTCGCTATCACCTGTTCCTTCAACTGAAGAGAGATCTTCTTCATGGCCGCCTGTATTGTTCCCTTGGTGATGCAGCTCTCCTTGGTGCCTACATTGTGCAGGGTATACATTTTCTCATAAGCTGTCCTTAAAGCATTGCATTGATTTTTTATTATTAGAAGGATTGAGGTATTCTCGTGCTTGCAGCGGAAATGGGTGACTACAATCCAGATGAACATGGGGAAAACCCTGGTTATATATCTGAATTCAAGATCCTCCTGAAGCAGACACCTGAACTGGAGGAACAGGTGGCATATTTACACCAGACTGAGATGCGTGGCCAGGTACCAGCCACGGCTGAAGCTCATTTCCTGCGAAAAGCTTGCCTCCTTGATACCTATGGCATCGATCCTCATCCTGTCAAGGTTAGGAAGACCCCCATGGTATGCTTTTTTCATCTGCATTTCAGCATGCAAATTTGTTTCCAATCAGGATTCGAGGGGGTGCCAGTTATACCTGGGCGTAAATCATTCAGGGATCATGACTTACCAGGCATCCCGCAAGACCCATCACTTCAAGTGGAATGATATCCAGAAGCTCAACTATGAGGGGAAAATGTTCATTGTCCATCTCACCTACAATGAGGTCAGAGTTAACCCCCCCCCCATTTTCCCTTTTCTCCTTATGAAACAAATTAACAATGGAAATAGACCTTTCACCCTCAATATTTGTCAAAGAAGATACAGTTGACTGACACAAATGTAACTGGACAGCCAAAGAATGAGCAAGAAAACTGTTATACCACTCACATAGGAGTTGGTGGTGGCAGGTTAATGCTTCCAGATTTTCTTGTTTTGTTTCATTCACCTTTTCATCACCAGAAACACATTCAAAGATGCAATAGTCTGTCTTGCTTAGTTGAGTAACAACACAGTTACACATTCTTTCCAGACTGCTTGTGTACTTTCAAAGTAATGTCCTTCTCTGAGGCTAATTGCTTAATGGAAGCATAATTTCTTTACTCAAACAAGGCAAGTTGAAGGAAAAAATTATTGTAGGCTATAGTTGCACAAATCCAGGTATCATTGATACTGATGAATTCAGCTATTGTCTGATGCCAACACCAGTATGTTATTGGTAAGATGAAAAATATGAATAAGTGAGAGCACCATCTTGGTAATTACTAATCCAGGGTATAATTATGGAAAGGCCAAGAAGGGGTTTTAATGTAATCACATAATCCATCTCTTAGTTCTGAGTACAGTATATTCTGGATAGCTGAAAAAAGAGAATGAGAGACTTATGCCTTTTTCTTCTCTGGGAGTCAACCTGGAAAAGGCAATAAAGGGCCTACTGTGGTGAAACAGAAAATGTGAGCATGATTGGTAGATTTGCTATGTGACTCAATGCTGATCCTTATACCAATATCTGATATCAACATCATTATCAGTGCATCCATACTGTGGACCTATTCATAGCTTTTTCCTTTTTTGACCATGGCAAGGTGTTCTTCAGATACCCTGACCAATTAAAAGTCTCACATTCTTAATAACTAAGAAAAAACATATTTGAGGGTCTTTTTTTTTATTTAGAAGATTTCAAATACTCATATATTTTCCCTTGATATATGTGGTTTCTGTTCCATACATAGTCAACATTTTTTACTTTTTCTGGCATGCCAGGATGGAAGAAGAAAGGTATAGTGCCTGATGTTTCTAAGCAAGGTATTTGTAAATTATGTTAGTTTGCTCTGAATTGATATGGATATATAATTGTGTTTATTGAATAGAAAAAGCACACTGTGGGTTTCAAGTGTCCTTCATATGCTGGATGTCGGCACCTATGGAAGTGCACTGTGGAGCAGAGGATCTTTTTTACGTATGTTGGAATCCTCTATCTTGAACTGTGACTTGACTTACTGGAGTCTTTTGCATTTTTTGACAACTTAGAAAAGTAGCTATGCCATTCAGTCAGTGGCAGCCTTACCACCAACTTTCCATGAAAAATGTTTCACAGGGTTGAGTCAAGTTCCCATGCTCCAAAGGTGGTCACAGGTGGAAGTTTCTTTTCGCGCGGATCCCGACTTCGTTATTCAGGTAGAACAGAAAAGGAGCTTTTACAGCATGCTGCCTCTGTGAACCGAGATCCTCCTCTTGTGCGCAGGTCTCACTCTCTTAAATCCATCTTGTTTCAAAATTAAACAGCAGTCCAGGAGCTTCATGAAGTGAATTTGTTTCAGATCTGCATCATTTCATCATCGGCGGTTGAGCATACCAGCTGGAGGATTTTCATCAGGGGAGGAATCTGATGGAGGTTGGTGAAGCTGACATTTTTTTCATATCACTATGTATATATATACATTACATTAAGTTCTCACTTCTTGTCATGCTTACCATTTTTCTATGGACTTTTATGTATGCCGATGCATGGGGATTCATGGAGCATTCAGCAGGTGTGAGAGTTATTTCTCCATGACATGTATTTTGTTTCCATTTTTGTGAATCATGTCTGTCTCAGGATATCATCGAGATGGCCTCCCACTGAACTCCCCATACTCAATGATTCAGAGAGCCATGGCTCCCCCAAGCATGGAGATGAGCCAGAGTGAGAGTTCATCACGACCCCCGCTGGAACGGGGTTCCTCGTTCCCTGACCGACCTCTTACGAGTGTAGCCGAATCCTTCGAATCCCCCCCACGTAGGCCAGCTGTCCCTAACCCTTCCATTCGTGAGTTTCAAATTCAGGAGTCTTAGGCTATAGGCCCACCAAGTGAGTCAGTCAGGAAGTGCACTGAGATGCATATTTGTTTTGGGCCATTTCATGCCTTAAGAAAAAAAAAGAAGCCAGTTAAAGATAACACACAATATCCCATTAATTTAACCCTGTAATTATGGTAGCAACCAAGATTAGTGGATGTCATGTGAGCTGTAATGGCTGAGAGCAGCCAAGAACAACTTGTTGCTAAAAATGACACATACTCAAAAATATTTAAAAAATAAGGCCCGGAACATAATAGCATTAATAAGAAATAAACTTAAAAGAGGTCAGAAAATCTTATGCATTGGTAGATTGTTCCTTTGCAACATTCTCTTCGATCTTGAAAGCTAGCGAAATCTAGCTCAACCTAATTGACTCCATTGTAGCTTCTTAGATATAAAAAAGGCTATCATTCAAAGTAATCATTTTGGAAGTCCAGTCAGTTGGAGAAAGTTGGTGATGAATTGCTCAGTGTTGTGAGTTGCATGTTCCAAATTTGTTAAAGATCCAAACATTCTCTTGCCATGTGCTGATGTTGTTGGATGAGTTGTTGATATATCTTTTCGAGCGAAAACTCTCACTACCTTATGCCTTCTGAAGCTGATATAGCCTCCCCTTCTTTTCTTTACTCTTGGTCATCTGATCCTTATGCCAAATTCTATATATTTCTTGAAAGAAAAAATATAAAATAGTGTGAAGGCTAGATTAAGCCAACTTTCCTAGGATATGATCTTCATAGGTATATTTGCATGGATAACAAGCACTTGAGGGAACAAGGGTGTACTATATGCAAAGTCAGGAATGCACATGAGCAGGGCATTCTTCCCTTTTGAAAAGGAATAATATGGCTAGGCCATGTGCCACAATTTAAAATTATATTGTGCCCACATGACTTTGGAGGAAGACCACAAATTTTAGGATGAAACTGCTTTGCAGATGTGACAGGTGAGATGACATCAGATGAGGATATTGGGCTGCGTATGACAGCTCCAAAGTCATCTCCAGGTGCTGTCCTGGGGTCAAAGGCCCTGGTCACCCTGGACAAGGCTGCTCTGGTGACATTCAACTGGAAGAGGAGTTTCCGCCAATCCCTTCTCCCTGCATTAGCGCTTGCTCTGGTCTGTGTGGCAGTTGGCACTGTCTTCATTCTGGAATCAAACCTGGAGGCCTTGCAGGAAGTTCGCTCATCAGCTGAATTCACCATTCTTCGAGACCATTACTATCTCCCCCTCAAGAGTTTCCTTAGCCGGCAATTGTTTGAGGGCTAAACACATTCACTCTTTCTTTAGTCGAGCTTAGAGCCCAAGAGCCTTATGATCAATTCAAGTTGATACCTTCAAATTCTTACATTCACTCCTTTGATTTATTCCAATCAGAAGCTACCTATAATTATTTATATTGTTGGGAAGTTATGGAACTTGCCAAAGTTGTTCATCCATATCTGATTCTTATCCCAAATCACACTATTTACATTTGGTTTTTTTTTTCTGGGAGAGTCTCTGGTTTGCACTGTAGACCTACAGAGTACATGGACCCTATTTCCAATTTATGTTGCAGAGGTGGTGCCATTTATGATTCTATTTATACCTGTGTTTGAAGTACTCCTTGTGTGATTGTTATTGTTTCCCTCCTTGGATAATGTGTGAATTTTCCCCCCAGTTTTTTAGCTTTTGGCCTTTTTGCCCAGATTTTTCAGATTTTTTTAATCTTGTAGGCTCTCATGGGATATAGTCCCTCACAATCATCCTTAGTACTCACGGCCTGTGATATTTCCGGTTGTAACTCATCTGCTATGATCCTAGGCCAAAGAAACCTTGGCAAAATGAATCTTCTTGTGATAGAAACAGGTATCAAATCTGTCAATCGCATATTTCACTCTTGTTAAAGGAGGAATCTGTATAGAACTTATATTTATTGTGCTTGTTTCTTTTGTCTGCACGCAGTACAAAAGCACAAAAACTAAAAGTACTGGGATTTGCACCCTAATTCACCAATATATGAATCCTGAACATCCCCATGGTTTGCACTAATGCTCAGTGTGAACCAATCACAAATGCAGAATCTCCTTATAACCATATTGTTATGTTTATCTCAACTTTGACTTTCTTGATGATGATGCCCCTGCGTTTGTGGGAGATCAATAAATTATCACAGTGCTCAGGATGTTGTACATGATTGATTCCTAGCAACTGCACTAATTGAAGCAATGAAGGCATTCCTTTAGCCTGGAAGTGAGGGATATCCCTTCTCTTTCCAAGACTCCATAGAGTCTCTATGGCTGGTAAACAAGACACTGCATTCTACATAAAACAAGCTTCTTGATAAGTTGAAAAAAAAAATTTTCTGTCTCAATTTTTTATTTTGTCAGATTCAGAGGTGGAAAAAGTTCTGTAACCAGGTTACCAGGAAGGGTAAAGACCGATTGGGAAGGCTAGGAAGGGAGAAGCAATATCAGTGACTGGGAAGCTGAACTTTTTCCACCTCTGGTTAAATTCATGAGAGGGAAAATGCATTATCATCGATTGTGTTCTTTGTTCGTGGAGGCAGAAGAATGTTGGGAGGCATCTTGCAACGAGTCCTGCAATCCCAGCCATTGCTGGTTGCTAGTATAAGGAATGGAAGCTATGCTTACCGCAACAACTTCCCTGTCCCAAAGGAGACTAAGCGCATCAGGACTCATGGATGGCAAAAGCGTATCTCTACACCAGCAGGGAGACGGATTCTCATGAGGAGGATCCTCAAAGGAAGGTGGATACTGTCTCACTGAACACACAACTTTATTCACTCATTTCATCTTAGTGAGAGTTCTCTGCTTCTCGGCATGTTCGACGATCTTTTCGACGACAGGGAGCCCTTTCCGTCGTCGGACGGTGTTCATGTACCAGGCAGCCCGATTCTGTGAATCTGCCTTCTCTCCGAAGTGCACATACTCCTCTTCAGTGCTTGGGGCCCAGTATGGATCCACATCCACTACCTGAGAAATCCAGAACATATATTCAGCAGTGTTAGTGGAAATATGAATGCTGCTGTTGATACGAAACGCCTATGCATTTTTGAATAGTAGTTCAAATAATAATTAGAATAAAAAAATTCAAGAAATCGATATTGATAAGCTATTACATTTGTGATTGGTCTTGGTGGAAAAAAAGTTGGATTAGCCCAGTCTTATATTGAGCCACCTTTCATTTAAAAATTTCGCGTCAGCATTTGCTCGCACTTAGGGAAGGATGATTTTTCCAAAATGAACGCACAACTGTAGGTTGCATGTTACAACAGAAATGAGTGAGGGAGTGATAGAGCCTGTCGCTGTAGTCCCCTGAATGGGCGAATTCCGGAAACGCACCGGAAAGGAGGACACAATCAAGCCCTGTCCCTAGGAGGCGGCAAAGCAAGAGGGTAGGCACTACTTGCAGGAGCTCTTGTCCATTCTCAATGTCTCACTTCTTCTCAATATTTGCTGATAGAATTGCTTCGGCACAACAAACTTGGGTGAAATTTGGGGCATAAATCGGAAAAATACTCATATATTCAATGTGAAAGTTTCGCGAAAATAACTCTATTGGGAGGGAAGATATTTAGGTTGAAAGTCGTTGGTCTTTTTTTTGCCATTCCCTGAAGACGCAGTCGTTTTCTACAGGAGTAGGATGAATTCGAATACGTGACCAACCAAAAGTTGTATAAGCTACACCACAAAGTGTTGGAATGAGGATAAGGTGTTAGTGCCCTTGTCTGAGCCATACAATACACTCATACATTCGTAAAGGAACATGAGTTACTGATGTGGGGTGTCACCTTGAAGACCCCTCGTATTACCAATGTATTCTCGCCACATGCATACTTAATGCCTGAGTTTTTGATGAGCCAGATTTAATAGAATATCCAATAAGCAGAATATAGGTTGCAAGAGCTACACCTGGCATCACCGATGCAATTCCCTTCCTTGTTTTGTTTCTCGAGCCAGAATCGATGGAAGGTCGATTCATATGTATCACATAAGAGAAATGGAGTGTTGAGAAAAGGTTTATGAAGACGGGTGTAGAGGATGAGCCTCCCTGCAGGTTCTCCATCCTCTGTCCTATGCGTCTCTATCTCGTTTTCTAGCTATCCTTCGTGTCGTGGTTAAGCGAAAGCGGAAAGATTGGTTCCACCTATTTCGATGTGCGAATGTATGCCATGAAATCTCCGCAACTATGAAGACTTGTCTGTCTTGTCATTTGAATTTTATTTTTTGACAGTTTCATTATTTGAAGTCAACAAGTCATGATTTTAACACCAACAGCAAGTCTCGCAGCGCTCAGAGTCGCAGAAGCCTCTCCCCCTTTCCCTAGCAAGGTGACGTCAAGTGTGCAAAGCGGCGCGGGCCGTCCGCCATCCTCTCACGTTGTAATTCATGAGATATCAATATCACATACCTTCCTTTCCTCCCTTCCACCATCGGCTCTCCTGTTTTATTTCAAGAAGAGTGAACATCCAAATAACATTGACGGTCATTTCCGAAGCGAAAATATGAAAATCGATATGTAAGAAAGGCGTAAAGAACCTTTATTATTCCAATTCCTCGACGAACTTTCCTCATTCGCAAATCATCTCCCGTAAGCTGTGAGTGACGTCGTTGGTAGAAACTCGCACAGGAATGCACGAAAAACGTCGAATCTCACCCTCCTTTCACATCTTAGACTTCCACATACGAGGAGATACTGAAATCCATGATTCAGGTCGAAGAGAGCGCAGTTGAATGCCGGACGTAAACGTACGTTAACTTAAGCTTTCGATCATAAACCTTAAAAATGTGCAAAGTGGAAATTTGTACTCCTCTAATTTCAAGAATGACGGTAACTTTTGCCATGCCAGCACTGCAAACCCCCGACGTAATTTCTTTCGAGGTTGTCGTGTATCAGTGTAGGGATTCATTTTCCAGCTGCAGAACTCATTCTGTGATGCTATATGGAGTTGGGATTGAAAAAATTATTTCTGAGAACGGAAATCGTAACTTTTCCTTGTAGATCTTCCCGATTTTGTCTCAGGATAAAATTATGGTTCGAAATCAAGGAAATACTAGGATGCACAACATATAGAGAAAGCTCTGCTTCAGATGACAGTAAGGCCACTGATGCAGCAGACGAAGTAGGTATTTTTTTTTTAGCTATTAGGTCATAAATCCCTAAACGCTCAAACTCGCAAATATTCATTATACCAACTGCGCAAATCTTTGGTCATCCCAAGCCAGATCCCCAATCCCAACAAGGAGCATTCAAGAACATATAAGAACGCTCAGCACCTAAGGGGCAGAGAGGATGGGCAGCTTTGTCTCCTTGCGTGGCTAGTTCGTTTGCACTAAGCAGCATTGAATAGTAAGCAACATTGACTTCTCAATCAAGGCTGCGCTAGCCTTCTCATGGAACGAGATTCAGTAATGTTCAGCATTACAATGTTTAATTTTGCTAAAAAATTAAACTAAATTAACAGCCCTAAAAAATCTTATTTTTATGGGGTAGTGGTAGTTATAATCGCCTCGCTGTAGAGAAGCTGTAAAATAGCAATACTGTTGCATGGTTATGCCCACGCAAGGACAAGTCTAAGATCTGACTAATAGGTCAGGTCCCGCGTTTTTTTCCGATGTCTTCCTGTGCACATCATTACCACTGACATCTGTCTCGGGTTACAATGGAATGACGAGACAAATTCGGACAAAAAGGATATCGGATGGGACGCTACAAAAGGTATAAGGAACTCATGACAAGATAATATTCATGACAAAAACTGAAATATAATGAAATTTTGACCTCTTTCGCTGAGTTCGCGAAGTCATAGAGCTTAGCGTGACACTGTGTGACATAGGTCTATTCTAGGATTCGGATCACTCGTTAGACTATGGTTGAAGGTGAGGAGGGGGAAAGAAATGGATGAAGAGAGGAAAATGGATGGGGAGGAGGGGGGGGTGGGCTCGCGTTAGCACGGGCCAAAAGTGTCCACGTGACGTTTCCTACAGAAACGGTTTCTTCTGGCTTACCATTGAGTTGGTCTATAGTGTTTCGATTTCGACAATGAGCGGTTTGTAAATTCGACAGTTTTGTTTCAAAGTGTTGTTTAGTCAAGCCAGAAACATTTATATAGTCTGTTTTTGGCCTGACTTTCTATTCCATCGACTGAGGAAAGCCGTTCGGAGGGATATTAACATAAACAATTCAAATACAGGCATATACGAGTTCCATTCGAGTGCTCAATGGCAAAAACCACAGTATCTGTCGACGTGAAATGCGCTCCTATAAGTATGCGTTAGAGTCTCTGGGAAATCTGAAAATCGAACCAGAAGTATTACGAGGAGTATTCCGAAGAAATGTTGGAAAATCTCCATTGGTTGGTGATACCAGCGATGAGAAAATCGACAGAGAAAAATGTTGCAAGACTTTTGCACAACATTATAAGCTAGTTATTGAACTTTCAGGGGTATAGTCAGGTTGTTTAGAAAGCCTGACGCGGAACAAGGGAAACATTTGCCTGCTAGAAAGTTATAGCCCTGTTTTCATTCCCCTTGACGGCATGTTGCGCTTTTATGGTCATCTAGCACATACATTTTCACATCCATAATCTGTTAGAAAACCAAAAAGTTTTCTATCGGATTTTTCTTTGCTAGTCAACTTGCGAAGAAAACTTTCGTGGTGAGGACGTATTTGAAAGTTTTATATGCAAGATTTTCAATGCTCTGGGAGATTTCTTTTAAAGTTTTCATAAAAAAATCTTTATTTCGCAACTTTCTTTCATCGTCATTGCAAGAAAACTTTCTGGAGTGAACGAGGCCAAGGACAAGACGAAAAATGAGATTTTCATCGAGTGTCGGGACGGGACGACACGGATCCACTGACACATTTCTAATTGAAGACGTGCGAATAAAAGGGAGGACTTTCCGTCGAAGGCCTTTGACATGGAGAACGTCGGGTGGTCACTTCCTGGTACAGGAAGGAATAGTTCTAATTAAAAGTTTGACGTTGTCTTCCTTTTTGAGTCAGTGAGTGCAACAGTGTACGAGTAGCTATGTTCATCCTCGTCCTCTCCCTCCTCGTTTCCGTCCCACTCTCGAACAGTGAGTTTTTCTTATTTCCCTTCTCCTCCAAGATCGAAGGTCCCCCCCCTCCCCGAGCTAAAGATTACATGAACTA